TTTGTCCTTTGTTCCCTACTTAACCTTGTGATATGGAGCACATCTGCATCAAGGGTGGGATTGTTCAATGGGCGGGAATTGCCTAGAGAGTGAAAACAGCAAAGCTGTAAATCCCTCCTTGATACTTTGTTGTGAACCCTCTGAAGGATGTTTGCAGGCTGCTAGTTGCAGTTGTGCTTCAGCGTGAAGTTCCAGACTTTCTGGTGGGAACGTAGCCCCTGCTCCCGGGGAGCGCGCGGTCGCGGGCAGCAGGCAGTGCTGGCCAGAGGGGCCGCTACATGGGGGTGCAGGGAAAGGGCTCGTCGCTCCAGCTGTGCTGCTGAGGGGAACTTGCTGTCTCACCTTCAGGTTGGCACTTTCAATTTAGCCTTTGTTTTCATTGAATAGCTCTGAGCTAAATCTTTTGCATATAGGATGCTATGTAAGTTCTTAACTGCAAAGTGGAAGCTGGAGTTTCCTATCGAGGTGGCAAGCTTGGGGGAAAAGATATTACATGGTTTTTAAGTGACTGGTCGTGCCAGTCTCAGAGTGTGACGAAAAAGCTCTATCTTAAATTGCAGTGTGCTTCATTTAAAGTATTTTCCATTTCATGCGCAGGTTGCGCTGTTTGTTATTCTCTAAGATGTAGGGAGGCAATTCAGTGTTAAATACTTAAGTTTAGAGCCTGGTTGGGACTATAGTATGTTTCTGTGTTAGGTTCGTGCATTGTGTGTGATTGTTTCACTTGTAATACAGCAGCTCCATTTTAAAGAAAAAAGGTAATAAGCAAACTACAAAATCATGTATGGCACTTGAAAGATATAGCATGACTGGTGTAATAAGTGCTCATCTTTATCCCTTGAGATAAAGATGCTCTTTGATAAACTGTTTGCTATTACAATATTCATTACAGTTTCATTATATCTATTTCCTACTCAAAACGTGCTGGAGCCTGCTGCTTGGAGAAGCTTCAAAGCAGTTGGTAAGCTCATGGAGGAGAGCGTGGTGGGGTTGCCTGCAGGAAGAGGAGACTGGGCTCGCTGATCCCAAGAGCTCCCTTCATTTCTCTTCAGTTATCTTTCCTGCAGCTTTCTCTTGAATTTTTTACCATAATGTCAATCTTTAAAGGGCCTAAGGAGAACGTTTGCATTTGGTTGATTTCTTACCCAGATAGCATGCATTAACTGCTGAACATATGTATTCTGGTTGGAGCATTTATACAGGCCTCATTAGGCTAGTGAGGTACCTAGAAATTACTTATTTGTGAGGCACAATACAATTTGAAGGACTGACTGACCATGAGAGCCCAGCCATAAGCTAATTAAAAGCTATTACACTTGGCGTCATTAGCATAGCCTTGTGCAGCCACCACTGCCGTAGCGGGGATGGCGTGATGCTGCTGCCAGAGCTGTGGGAAGTGCCTGCTTCTGAGCACCAGTGTTTGGAGGTTGTGATTTCCTAATTGTTGGCTCTGTTCACACTATGAAACCAAGTCTACTAGACTCTCCTGTGATTCAGCATGTTACATGTGCATTCAGAGCGATGATCATCGCTGTACGGTTGACTCCTACGCGGAAAAGGCAACACAGAGCAGTGCAGGCAGCTCCGTGAATGACCTTTTTCAAGCTACCTTTTGACCATTATCACAGGCAGCTCCGTGAATGACCTTTTTCATTACCAGCTACCTGCTTGATCTCATTCAAAGAGCAGTTATTCTCCTGAGCACTATTATATTCTGCCAGCATACCCGGGCTTCAGATAAAATAGTAAAAATCCTTACTTCCTATAGCAAAGACTTTTTTTGTTTAATGTTTTAGACTCTGACATGTAGACTACTGTTGCTTGCTTATTTAAAGCACAACATTGGAGTTTGTGGTGGTTATGTAAATTTATTTCAGGAAGGAGAAACTGGGACTTAATATTCTGGCAACAAATATAACTGAGTTGATGCTTTTCTGTGTTTAAGTAATTAAGTATTTCAAACTAAGGTAATGTAGGGTTCCCTGTGGAGCTAGAAGACTGTTTTACTCCAAAATTTTAATTACAGAAATTTTAATTATAGAAATCTCCTTCCTTGGGGAAATAACTGGTCCTAAGCTGCTCTGATAAGGAGCTGAGTAGCTTTAGACCTGCAGCTTAGCTCCAGGTCAGCATCTTCCTCTGCTTTATTTTTCCATTTGCCCAGCAGTGTTGGGTTTAGGAGAATTTTAACTTAATCAGGTGCAGCTTGCATAGGAATAATAATAATAATAAAATAAAAAAATCAAAACCCCACTAATATGCACCATGTTGCTACCTTCAGTTGCTCATTAATTGAGCTTCTGTTCCAGTTTATGCCCTTCTCTTTTTCCTTGCAATCCTAGATAATTTACTGTTTCAACTATCTTTCATGTGTGAAAGACCCTTGAATTTCCATATTAGCCCTGGTCAGGCTAGTCCATGTTAGTCCATCCTCTTATGGACATGCAGAAGGGAGATGAGAAACTAAAGCTCAGTCAGTCTCATTTCTATGAGGTCAGGAAAACCTCTGCTTTCTAAAGAGTAGAATCAGCAAATATCTGGGTAAAGTACTGCTGAGGAGGCGAAGACCGTTCTGTAGGGAAGTTCTGCCCCGCTGATCTGCTGGAACTCGTACCTACTGGGAGATTCTCATTGATGCAGGATTCTAGGTTTTCTCATGTGTTCATAATGGAATTGCTCAAAAAAGCTCTTAGAGAAATTAAGCTGTTACAGAGTAAGGCAAAAGTCTTGATGGTAAGTTGGTTGAAAAAGAAAAGAACAGGGGCAAGTAAACAATGAGAAGGTAAGTAATCATGATGAGAGGTTACAAGAAGGATCTTGAAAGTGATGGTCTTCTCACTTCATCTTCTCAGGGGAATGAGAGCTGAAGGCTATGGGTTATAATAGAGTAATGGAAAATCACCTGAAGGCCCAAAGGCAGAAGGAGTGCAGGGTATGTCTGGAGATGCAGTAGGGAACAGAAGTGAAAATGGTCTCATTGTAGAAATCTGCACTGTTCTGGCATCTTGAGGACTGTGTGTGGTTTCGTACCACAGAAGGTCTATCAAGATAGAAGTGGTTTATAGAGAAGCTTAAGATAGAGATCCAGAGCAGCAGCACAGTGAAATATCAGTCTGACTGTTCACTTTGGGAAAGAGCTGAATCAGATGGCAATAAAACTGAAGTCATGGTGAGTAAAATTATGAAGATCACTTGGCAATAAAACTGAAGTCATGGTGAGTAAAATTATGAAGATCACTAGGAAATGATTATTTCCTAGATATAACTTAGTAGGTGGTAGTGTTCTGACAGCCCGTGGACACAGTGATCTACATTCAGCCTCTGACTCTGGAAATCCTTCAGGCAGTGATGGCCCCTCTGTTTCTGGATTTGTCAAGAAGATATCACAGCACATGTTCCCTGTCTCTTCTGCCCTTTCTCTTCATCTGGAAGGACCTTTGTTAATTATTTCCAATTAATAAATATGGTAAATAGCTGCTTATA